TGTCTTCAACATCTCGGCCTGGCTTCAGCTACGCGGTGCAGGTGGCCCGTCTGTTCCTTCGCGGCTGGCCTTGGGCTTGGGGGCCCTCAACCGCACGGCACGATCGACGTTGCCCGCTTTCCGTCATCTACATGACTGGCTCCGTCGCCAACATGAACGCCTCGGTGATCGCTGCTCGCTTTCGCAGACGGCTTCGAAGCGACCTTACCCTCACTGGTGGAAGTCTGAGGCCTTTGTGGAAACTTTGCAGCGGGCTGTGGAGGCATCTTCGGTCAGGGCTTTTCCAGCGTACACTTCGCAACGTCTCTCCACCGCGACTGCTGCCGCCTCGGCCTGGCTGACTGGCCGCGAGAGGACGTCGGGACTTCAAAGGCACATCACTGCGACGGTTCGCAAACTTTTGGTTCCGCGCCCGCTTTGGAACTGCTTCGTGGGCAGGCTGGCGCGCGCCTTCCCTCACATGGTCGCTGGTGGTCGCTCGCCTATCCCGCCAAGTCGTTGGACGCACATCATGAAGTACCTACGCGGCTGCTCCATGCCTTGGGCGTTTGTTTACCTCAAGACCGCGGCCAACGGATGGTTGACTTCGCACCGCATCCTGCAACCGCATGGGAGGCTTTGCTGTCGCTCCGGATGCGCTGATCAACCTGACGCATTGAAGCATTATCTTGAATGTGATCCTTTCAGGCGGCTTGTGGAACAGGAGCTTGGCTACTCGCGGCCTGCCTCCGCTCTTGGACGGTCGGGCCTTCTCGGCAGTGCTGTTCAACTTGACCGCGTCGTGTTCGACGTCGTCGTAATGCACTACACCTATGTTGCTGCAGCTCATGGCACAAATTCGCACGTGCGGTCTCCCTCGGCTGCGCGCTCTTTTGTGAAGGCGGCGGTGCGCACTGCGAAGCTGGGAGCCTCTTCGCCTGCTCGTGCGCCGATGGTGTCGTCGTCTCCTGGAAACCACTTACAGCCATCCTCCTCGTCGTCTACGGCGTCATCCACGTCGTCCTCTTCCTCAGGCTCGTCTTCTTCAACGTCATCACCGCCTTCGTCTCCGTCTCCTTCGGCGACTACCGATGCCAGCGTTGTTGCTGCTGCTTTTGCGTTGGAGTCATCGCCATTAGACACGGTAAGCACGTACCTCAACGGGTCTTTTGCATCGGCAGTTCAGGCTCGAGAGGCATTTGTGGCCAGCATGTACGACTCGCCTTTCACCGCTGTCGACAGCATGCGGGCTTTGGGGCTCCTCCATGTTCATGCTTGCGTCGCGAGCTTCGCTTGTGGCTCCTGCTCTACGCTTACGGCGCCTTCATTTTCTTCGTCTTACCCTGTGGGTAACACCGCGGTCAGCAGCAACGAGGTCGTCGTGGGCTCAGGGCCTTCCGTCGACACCCACATCTGCGACACCTTGGCGATGCAGATGTCTGGAACTTCAGGCTCGTCCCCGTGGGTGCCACCGTCTGGCCTTAGTGCAGCACTTTGCCGTCATGAGCTGTACCAATCCTTGGTGGACACGGTGGGTCGGTGGTCTCAAGCATGGGTTCCGTCCCTCGCGCTCTCTACTCCAGGCAGCGACTTCGACCAGTGGATATCTTGGTGCCTCCCGTATCTTGATGGAGTGCTACGCTACGAGGATTTTGGCGCTTTTCTGCGACTTGTTCATGATATCCCTGGCTTGGGTGGCGCTCGTCGTCCGGTGGCATCTGAGGTTTGCCTTCATTGATGGTACTTGGGAGCCGGCCCCCGAGAGAGGTTTCGCAGCCAGCATCGCGAGGCATGGGCAGTACGTTGTGATCTTCGTTTACTTCAGGTTCGTCGCTGTGGACGTCGTCTCTTTCGGCAAATGGCCTGGCGTCCTGATCTGTCTCGCATGTCCTCGACTGCCCGTGCGGACTTCTTGGCGAAGCAGAGTTCTTGTGCCTCAGGTGTGGTACCTGCTCTTCTCCCACATCTTCACCTGCCGCCACATCGCGCCCCCCCTGCTTCCTTGTCTGCACACGACACGATCGCGGAGCCAGCTCCTGATGAAGATGATCAGAGTATCGGGGGCGACGGCTTCCCCACTCCGACGGCGCTGGACTTAGCCATGATGGAGGAGGACGCTGGGGTGCCTGCGGTGGCGTCTGGTGGCGATGGCCACGTGCCTGCGCACCTCGATGATGAGCAGATGTCGGCGGACGAGTACAGGCACCATTTCGGCCCCATCCTTTCCGACGCCGAATTCGAGGCTCAATTACAAAGTGCTTCCCGACGCTCTCGGCTGGACACGGCTGGCAATGCGTCCAACCTGACTGCGGCGTCCTCGGGCGGCACAGCGGTCTCCCTTCCAGTGGATGCTCCTGGCGACGACCCTGCTCCAGACGCTGCGGACCTTCGCTCTCGTTCATCGAGCTCCTCGGATGACGCCTTCGACGAGTTGATGTCCAGACATGGCTTCGGGGTGATCTACCCCAACGGGTCCTTCGGAGGCGCCTTACGTGGAAGAGATCCTGATGCACCACTGTCGGCGGCTTCTATTGCGGCAGCTGCTCCCCCGAGTGCCCCTCAACATGCTGAACAAGTGCAGGTGCCTCCTGGCGCCTCCTCGGCAGGGATTCCTTCTGCTGATGATGCAGGTTCTCTTCAACTTGGTGCTCTTCAAGAGGCTAGCCGATTTGCGCAGTCGGTCGTGCGTGCCTCGCGCTCATCCTTGCTTGGCTCCAGTGGCGCGAGTACCTCTTTGTCGTCGGCGGAGCTTGCGGCTGTGGTTGCGCACCTGGACCTGAGCTACAACCTCCCTCCCACTCACCGCGAACTGGTCATCTGGCTGCTGACTCACCCTGCCGCGATGATAGAGGACGAGGACGACCACGACCAGTCATCGCCCGCCTTCGGCCAGGACGTCACCTTCCTGGAGGCCCTCGACAGCGACGCGAGTTCGCAGCCTGACTCTGAGGGCATACGTGCAGACCTGGTGTCGCAGGAGGAGATGATGCGGCTGGCCAGCCCCAACTCCAGCGCCCCCTCGAGTGCTTCGCCCCCTCCAGAAGCAGAACGATTTCCTGGGCTTCATGATCACCTGGATCCTCGGGAGAAATCAGATGATGAAGGTCGGGTTCCTTTTGCGCCTCATGACACGTCCGTTCCCCTCTCCGTGAACTTCGTGCGTGCGTCCGAGGGGGACTTGCCGCCCGCGATGCCTTCTGCTGTTGGCCATCCTGTTCATGAGTTGCCTCAACTGCCCTCTCCTGATGGCCACGTATCTTCGCCCGCTGGTGACCCTCCTCAAGCTCTTCAACTTCCACATGTGGCGATGGGAGCTGCGCCGCAGCCTGAGGGGCTTCATGACGATCCGCCTCCTTGGGCCGATGGGTCTGGAGTCAGCTGGGACGAGCTGCAGCCCAACGCGCTGTTGGCAGTCAACATGATCGTACCTGCGATCCTCCCCACGATGACCGAGCCCAACTCCTCCACGTCGCTTACCTGGGATGATGAGCGCCCGCCAGGCACGTGGAATCCGCAGCAGGTCACTTTTGAGGAACTTCCTGCAAATCAGCTTCGCCAAGCCCTTCTTCTTCTGCACCATCTCTTTCCGAGTTTGACAGAGGATAAGCTCGACGACATTCAGTACTTGCTGCGCAACCCTGGAGCGTTCCTCATTGGCGACGATGGACTGGGGCCGTTCGACCCCTACACTGAGGACATAGTGGCGATTGTCCCCCCGCATGATCACAGAGCGCCTTTCCTTCATGGTGATTGGGCTGCTACGCATTCGGGGTCTTCTCCTGCTGGTGGTCCCGCTGCTCGTCCTGACGGCGCTCGTCCACATCGCAGTCGGCCAGGTGCTCTCCATGATCACGATGCCCTTGCTCAAGCGCTTCCTTCTGAAGGCGCTGGACACCAAGGGGCTTCTGGTGAGCTGAGGCGCACGGATGCTGGCGCTGGTCCTGTGGCGGGCCCTTCGCTTGCTGCCACTGAGCTCGCGTCCTGTGAGGAGATGACCGACACCACGCGCAACGCGGCGAAGCTAGTGTTGCAGGAGCTCACGCGGCGCACCTCAACCCCTTCTTCGGCCTTGCTGGCAGCTGCTTCGTCTTCCTTGTCGTCGGCGCCTACTGCATCTACCTCACCCTCATTTCTTTTTCCGCTTTCGGGCTCTCAGATGCAGGCGGCGATGGTGTTCCTTGAGGCCCAGGGCTTGAACCAGGACGAGGTGCAGGAGGCGTTGCTCTTCCTCCATGAGCCTGATGCTTTTCTGGATGCTGGTGATGCTGATCACGCTGGTCTTCCCGATGAGTCTCATGATGCTGAGGCGGTGGCCGCCTTGGATCCTGGTGCGTCCGACCTGGTGTACCTGGACTTTGCTGCCGCGCTCCAAACGGAAAACGATATTGCCGTCCAGCTTGGCGACGACGCGGAAGCTCCTGTGGTGCCTGGTCTCGCTGACCCCGCTGACGGGCTGCTTGTCGCACTGCCTGTCAGCCTCATCGATGGCGACCTCGACGACGCCAAGAACGGCGCTCCCGTCGAGATGAACTCCGACGCCACCCTGGCCGCCGACGCCGAGCCTGTGAGGCCCGAGGCGCGGCTGCGCGGCCCTGGGGCGTGAGGATAGACCTTCGCTCAGGGACGCTCGCTCCTCCTCCTCCTCCTCCTCCTCCTCCTCCTCCTCTTGCTCGTCCTCCTCCTCATCCTCCTCCTCCTCCTCCTCCTCCTCCTCCTCCTCCTCCTCCTCATCCTCCCCCTCCTCCTCCTCCTCCGCCTCCTCCTCCTCCGCCTCCTCCTCCTCCTGGTCCTCCCTCTCCTACCTGTGGTGGTGTTGGTGGACACTCGGCCCATCTGGGGAGGGGCGCTGCCCGGGGGCCTCTTGCGGGCTACCGCCACTGCCGCGCGTCGCCGCCGCCGCCCCTCGGCACCGCTGCCGCCGCCGCCCGTGGGCGCGGCCGCCGCCGCTCGCCATTGCCGCCGCCGCCCGCCGGCGTAGCCGTGCATCGCAGTCGCCCACGTCGCCGTCGCCGTCGCTGGAGGTGCGCTGCCAGTACCAGGCCTCGGGCGGCCGGTAAGAGGGGGTGTCGGTGGTTCAAAGGTGGGGTCCTGAGATATCGGGTCCTGAGGACGAGGTGCCTTGGATCCCTTCCTATCCTTAGACCCCCATCCCTCAGGACCCCATCTTCGAACCACCGAGGGTGGCCCAAAGGGGGGTTGAGGACAGGGGCCTGCCAGTGGCCCTGCAGGGCCCCTTTTGGAGCCAGCAGGGGCCCAGAAGGGGCCCTACAGGGCACCTTCCGAGGGCCCTCCTCTTCACCCCCATTCGGGTCACCCCCCCCCCGTGCAAACCCGCCCGACAGGCCAACGCCTCCGCGCTGCTGTCCGTGCGGTGCCCGGCGTGCGACAAGGTGCCGCCCGGCCGCCTGCGCCGCCCCTGCGCTGTGCTCGGCAAGTGGGCCCTGCTCGTCTGCGTTCCTGCTTCTCTCTACGCTCGGGGGGGGCTTCTCGGCGTCACGCCAACAGATTCATACTACGTCTGCGGCGCTCCCCGCAGAGGCGACGGGCGCGCCGAGAAATCTTCTGGCAAAAGCTCCGTGGCGGGCGTTAAGTCGGGCGCGTCCCTGCACAGGAAGAGTATTTCAAATGAGTAAAATTATCCCAGTGCGACCCTACCTAGGAGTTGGAGCATTTAGGAAAGCAACATCTACATCTACACCGACAGCTACATTTACATCTACACATGCATCTACATCTACAACTACATCTACATCAACAGCGAGACTCACATCTACATCTAGATCTACATCTACACCTACATCTACATCTACATCTACATCTACATCTACATCTACATCTACATCTACATCTACATATACACCTACATTCACATCTACACCTACACCTACATCTACATATGCACTTTCCTAGGCGCATAGGAGGCTATGCTAGCATAGCAGGCTATGCTATGCTATGCTATGCTGCGCTGTGCTACGATATGATATGCTGCGCTATGCTATGCTATGATATGCTGCGTTATGCTATGCTCTGTTAGGCTATGCTATGATATGCGATGCTGCGCTATGCTATGCTCTGCTATGCTATGCTATGCTATGCTGTTCTGCGCTATGCTGCGCTATGCTGCGCTATGCTATGCTATGCTATGCTATGCAGTGTTATGCTAAACATTGTCATGCTGTGCTATGATGTGCTGCGCTATGCTAGGCTATGCTATGCTATGATATGATTTGCTATTCTGAGCTATGCTGTGCTATGCTGTGCTATGCTTGGTCATGATATGCTATGCTATGTTGTGCTAATGCTGCGCTGCGCTATGCTGCGCTGCGCTAAGTTAAGGTAAGCGAAGCTATGCTAAGCTAAGCTGAGCTAAGCTAGGCTAAGCTAAGCTAAGCTAAACCAAGCCAAGCTAAGCTAAGCTAAGCTAAGATGAGATAAGCTAAGCTAAGCTAAGCTAAGTTAAACCAAGCTAGGATAGACACAGCTAAGCTAAGATGAGATAAGATAAGCTAAGCTGGATGAACCCAGGGGGCGCAACTGGGGGAACCGTGGGGCGGGGACTGGGGGAACCACCCGGGGCGTGTTGCACTGCCCGGCCCCTTTAGCTAACAGAGTAAGAACCCTTCTAGGCAGAGCCTAGGTAGGGAAAAACAGTCCGATGGCGAATCTCCCAGGTATCTTCGAAATACTCAAAAATAGTCTGGAAATCTTATGGAAATTGCCTCCTTGGTGTGACGCCGAGAAGAGGCCCCCTTAGCGGCTAAGGGGGCCTCTTCTCGGCGTCACACCAACATATGAATACTATGTCTGCGGCGCTCCCCGCAGAGGCGACTGGCGCGCCGAGAAAGCTTCTGGCAGAAGCTCCGTGGCGGGCGTTGTCTGGCCACACCGCTCGGAAAACGATATTCTACCTATATGTTCGTTTCGGGAGCACGCCTCCAACGTCAGCGCATAGTGCTCGTATATTTTTCAGCGTCCCATCTTCATCGAGGACTTGGACCTGGAGGGACTTCTTTTATCGACTTTGACGTGGGACACGAGGCGTCGGGCAACAAATGCTCCCATGAACCAAACGATGGCCCCAAGAGGTCCACGAGGGCCCAAAAAGGGCTCCCAGAGGATCCCCAGATGCATTCAAGACGGCCCAGAAGGGCGTTGAAGACATTCCCGCGACGGCCCAAGATCGCAAGCAACAGCCCGAAGAAAGAGGCTTCAGAGGGAGGGAGAGGATGGTGGTGGTCACTGCATAAGGGAGGCAAGCCCCGAGCAGAGCAACGCGTACCACGCCCACGACGACTCCGACGACGGCGGCGGAGACGAAGCGCGCAGACGATCCGCACCGAATCACGGATTTGGGAAGCACAGATTGGGGAGTAGGAAGGAAGAGGGCGGAGAGGAAGGGCGCGCGATACAGATCATGATCAGTGGGCAGGCAGCAATGGAACGTACACAGGGAGAGGAACGTCAGAGAGGAGGACGCACAGTAGAGATGGAGAGGCAAGGGGAGGGGGAGGAGGAGAAAGAGCGGGGGCATCGCTTGTCCAGACGCGCACGGCCGGCCGAATCACGGCCGGCCCAATCACGAGTTCAAAATAACAGCGGACGGCCGAGTCACGGTTGAGCAATATTATGTTGCACAATCGTGATTCGGATCGTGCGTTGTATTTTTGTTGCCGGTATTGTGAGTCCCGTGCGTTATCACCCCATGGACGCCGATTCTTTCTCAATTGCGCCCTGTACCGCCCAGGTGCGAAACTTTGAGGAGCAATGTGCGCCGATGCAGCCTTGTAAAGTGCAAGCACTCTGGAGCACCAGGGCAGGATGCTGCCACCCTTCAAGGATCCAAAAATAGTCCGGTGACGGGCAGTCCGAAGGCACCGATTTTCCGAAGACCTCGCCAGACGGTCTGCGACAGAACGTTCTCGGGACTCTGGAGGCCCCACGCGTTCGCCACATCACCCATGATCGCCCCTGACATGCTGTAGCGTGGTCACGAGAACGTTTGGGCACCCTTGGACCCTCCTCCATTCGGCGTCACCCGCACATGAGAACACGAACACGATGTGTGCGTCGCCACCACTCGGGCGACGCCCGCACCGAGATATCTTACATTATACGCTTCGTGGCAGGCGCTTTCTGGCCGTACCGCTCGGGAAGCGATATGTTACAAGATGGCTGGACTACATGATCGGGTGTCCTTCTGCGCCTATCCATGGCACTACCAGGGCCTTCGCCGTCGTCGCCCTCCCGCCTCCTCCGCGAGCTTTCACACTCATGAATCACACAGGGTTCCAACGTGGATCTTGGGCTGTGGCCCAACCGCCAGGCCCGCCCCTCTTGACGTATGTCGGCACCTTGCCCTTGCCTTGCCCTTACTGTCTTTGGTCAGATGGCCACGATGGCCTGACGCATATGATGTATCTTCTCCGTCTTCTCCTGGCTCTGGACTCCAGATCCAGGAGAAGATCACCGCCAACCAAACCACCCCAACCCAACCCGAAGCCTCAATATGACCTCCATTTCCAGTGGGGCGGGGTCGGGGAACATTGAAAAAACACATCCGGAACCCGTACCCCCCCAACCCGAAATTCGGGTCTTCGAGTTGGGTTGGGGTGGTCTGGTAGGTAGTCAGATTGAGAATATCTGGAGGAGATGGAGCCTGGAGAAGAGGAGCCAGGCTGAAGATCCCTCAAATATGATCCTAATGTGCGGAGCCTCCCTTGGACAGGGACAGACGGCGTGGCGGCGCCCGCGGCGGGCGCGCGCTCCCCTCTCTGCCGGCTGCAATTGCGCACGAGGCGCACCGTCAGCCAGTATTGTGGAGACCTTTTGCCAAGCAGCACCCTGCTTGCCTCCAGGGTGCTCTGGGTTTCTTGGGTTTCTATGGTTTTGCTGTGTAAAGCGCGACGTTCCATACCAAAATACAATGGACTTCCTGGGGTCTCAGGGTGGGGTTTCTTGTGGAAGGTTTCTTGTGGACTGGCCTCTTCTGTACTCCAACCACCTCCATTGAGGGGCAAACGCCACTCGACCCAAACGCGTGCGGCGGCACGCGCAAGAAGGGCACAAACGATGGCAGGAGTGAGCGAACGGGCGCGACTCTTACTCTCGTTCTCTCCCTCCCGAGGACTGCGGAGGAGATGGCGTTTATAGCGCGTCCTTGCCTCGCTCCTCTTGCCCCTCTTCTTGCTCTTCCTCCTCCTCCTCCTCTTTTCCCTCCTCGCCCTCGCCGCTCCCTGCCTCAGGCCAGTGCGCGTGCGCCTAAAGGTGGGGCTGGGGGGCTCGCACCCCGCGGCCGCGGCGCTGGTCTCCTCATGGCTCTTCCACCTTTGGTTCTCTCTGCTCCGGCCTCCCCTCCCTCTCCTGCTCCTCCTCGCTTGTGACCGCGCGCTGTTTGTGAGGCTTGGGGTGCAGAAGCTGCCAGAGACGGGCTTCCGCGCCTCGCCGTCTTCGTCGTCCTCGTCCTCGTCCTCGTCCTCGTCCTCGTCGTCGCCCTCTGCCTACCCGTGGCCAGTGCTCGCTTGTGGCGTCCCCTTCCCATTCGAGTGGAAGTTGCGCCGGTCACTGTTTTTCTCTTCTGCGACAGCTTGCTGAGCAGCTTCTTTGCGTCCAGGGGGAGCTTCCCATGTCTGAGGGCATTACGGACGGCCGCGCGGCGTGCCGCAGTTTCTTGGCGTTCTGGCGCCCATGCCCAGATGACGTGCCAGGGTACCAAGAACACGTTTTGTTTGTTTCTCTTGTCGAAGTTGGCATGCGTGCCGGACGGGTGGGTACTTTGATATGGAAGGGCACGCGGATCACATTTGATTTGCGCACCATTCTCTCTGCCGATGCTCTTCCACACCCTTCTGATGCTGCTGTTCCGTCCTCCCCCGTCGCCATTTTGGCTGAAGCGCCCCCCCCCCCGCTTCAGAGGACCCCGACCCCCGCCCACTCTTCCAGCCCCTTCTTTAGTTGACCCCCCATCTCCCACCCATCTCCATCCTCACCCACTCCCCCTCCTCGTCCTCTCCTCATCCTCCTACTCCTTCTCCTCTTTGTCCTTCTCCTCCTCCTCCTCCTCCTCCTCCTCCTCCTTCCTGCGATGTGCGCAGCCTGACCGCCAGGGCTGCCCTCAGGAGCCCCCCTGTGGCGGCTGCCACCCCTGCCCGCCCCTCGCGCCTGCCCCAGAGGCTCTCCCTCCCCCTCCTCGCTCTTTGCCTCCTCTGATGGGCCTGCTTTCCACCACCACCACCACCACGATACGCTGGAGGGGGAGGGGGTCCTCCTCCTCCTCCTCCTCCTCCTCCTCCTCCTCCACCTCCTCCTCCTCCTCCTCCTCCTCCCCCTCCTCCTCCTCCTCCTCCTCCTCCTCCTCCTCCCTCCTCCTCCCCTCCTCCTCCTCCTCCTCCTCCTCCTCCTCCCCCCTCCCCTCCTTCCCCTCCCCTCCCCGTTCTCTTCCCTCCCCCTCCCCCTCCCTCCCCTCCTCCTCCTCCTCCTCCTCCTCCTCCTCCTCCTCCTCCTCCTCCTCCTCCTCCTCCTCCTCCTTCCCCCCTCCAACTTCTGGTGGTGGTGGTGGAAAACATGCCCATCGTCCTTTCATGCCGCGAGCCGGCAATGTGGCACGGCCGCAGCCTGCGGCTGCACCCAGGCTCGGCCGTCTGCCTCGCGGGCCTCGGGGACGATGAGGAGCACGCCAGCGCGCTTTGCCATGTCGTCCGCTTCGACGCGGGCAGGGGTAGGTGGCGCGTGCGGCTGAAGAACAGCCCCGAGACCGAGGGCGAGCTCCTGGTCGAGGAGGACGCCCTCAGCCTCGCCTATTGCGTCCTGCCCGGGAGCTTGGCGGCAGGCCCAGGCGGGCTCGTGCGCGTCGTGGAGCGCCAGGGCGAGTGCGGGAGAGGGCTGGTGGCCGGGCGGCCTTTCGAGCAGGGCGCTGTCGTCTTCCAGGAGCACCCTCTGCTGCTCACGGCCTCCGGCGTGGAGGCCATGTGGCAGTGCCGCTGGCATGCCTACCTGGAGATGTACGCTGTGGCAGAGGCGGACGCAGCAATGGGAGCGGCCATGCGCAGCTTCGATGAGCTTACTCGAGGAAGCATGCGAAGAGAGAGAGTCGCCGAGGTGGAGCAGGCGGCGGAGGCTGTAGCGCGGGGGAGCGGCTACTTCGACGAGGCGCCCGCGGACTCCGAGCAGGTGCGCGAGGCCGTGGCGCGGATCCGGGATGTGCTGCTTAGAGTGAAGTCGAACGCCTTCGAGTTCCACAACGGCTCTGAGCTTGGTGCCAGCGCGCTGTACTGGCATCTCAGCTTCATGAACCACTCCTGCGCCCCGAACGTCGAGCTGCAGCCTCAGTGGGGCAGCCTGTCGCCTGGCTCCCTCGCGGCGGGCGATGGCGCCGTGGCTGCCCGGGCTACCTGCCGGCTTGCGGAGGGCCAGCCCTTGTCAATCAACTACGGCCCTGCGGCGCTGCCGTCGTGGACGCGGCAGCGCCGCCTCGCGCACCTGCTGGAGGAGCATGGCTTCGAGTGCCGCTGCGACCGCTGCGAGCGCGAGGGCGCCGCGGAGGCGGGTCCCGGCCTGCTGTCGACCATGGACTGAGGGAGCCGCGGGGCGGGGGGAGGGGCAGGGTGTTTCGGGCCAGCGGGCGCGCTGGCGCCTCGCCCGCGCCACGCGGCTGGGGGGCCTCGGAGGTCGACGCCCCGAGCCAAGACATCGCAGCTCAAGCGAAGCAGCGTCTCGCCATGAGGAGGAGGAGGAGGAGGAGGAGGAGGAGGAGGAGGAGGAGCGCCTCCAAGGGCGCCCCCCCCGGCCTCTGGCTCGGCCGCCGCCTCGGTCGCCGCCGCCTGGCGCCGATGGTGACCTGTGGCCCTACTTACCACGCAGGAGGGTGGGCGGGGATGGCGGGGCGCGCGGAGCGGCGGGGGCGGCGGCAAGAGGCGGGGGCTGTCGAGAGGTGGTGCGGAGAACCCTCACAGACCAACCAAATGCGGGGAAGGATGAGTGGCCTTGGGGTTGCAATTCGCGAGCCCTCGAGCCCCCCACCCCGATCCCTCACCCAAATGTTCGGTGAAGCTATATTGTCGCGTCGCGCCCCCTGGAAGTGATATCCCGCGCCCGGACGCCTTGGTGCGGGATCCCACCATGTTCTTCGTATGATTCCAGCAAGACCCGAATCTGATAACGCCAGGGGTAGCCGCAATTTCATCCCGAGGTGATCGAAGAGAAATGGGGAATTGGAGGGAGCGGGAGGATGAGGGGAGTAGCGGATGATGATGATGATGATGATGATGATGATGATGATGATGATGATGATGATGATGATGATGATGATGATGCTGATGCTGATGCTGATGCTGATGCTGATGCTGATGATGATGATGATGATGATGATGATGATGATGATGATGATGATGCTGATGCTGATGCTGATGCTGATGCTGATGCTGATGCTGCTAATGATGATGATGATGATGCTGATGATGATGAGGATGATGATGATGTTGATGTTGATGTTGATGCTGATGCTGATGATGGTGATGGTGATGGTG